CTATAGTTTTAATTGTATAAACGCTAGTTGATTTCTAATCAGTTGCTAAGGAAAATTGATCTACATAGATACAATTAGTTCAAATTTTATTAACTATATCTATAAACCCTTTTCAAAGTTTTTATTTCATTTTTTAAAGAAATTTAGAATTAAGCAAAAGTTTTATAAAAAAAATTAAATGACTGTTTTCTAAGGGCCCTAAACTGCATGTCAACACCAAATATTAGTTATTTTTTGGTTCTGTTATCATTCAAATTCATAAAATAGCATTGTAGCATTAATATCAGTTTAGTTTATAATACTGATATTTTAAGAAAGTATCTTAATTTAGTTAACTATGCAATATGCAATGTTGATATGAAATATAGGTACCAATAGCAACTAAATAAACAATCTAATGGTACCATTAAATTTTTAGTATGAAATATGCTCAACCTGGCAATAATGAGGAAAACCTAACTTATATTTTAAAAGTTATTCTTTTTGTTCAGTTAATAATGATTTTGGCCCACTATGCGATGGCGCGAAATATGTCCAGAGCTCGCTTCGAACCCTGGATCTGTTGTTTCTTAAGCAAGTATTCTAACCACTATGCTGTTTATCATTTAGCACAGTTGAAATGCACTCTGTAAATTATATTAACGTGAATTTATTATCATAAAAGTTAATTAAAAATTTTAAAACCTAAGCATTTAACAAACCTCCAGCTTTAAAGATGTTTCAATAAAAGGAAGCTGTAGCGTTAGCAGAGTAAGTGTAAGGGCAAGGGGATTTTTATAAGGAAGAGAGAATGCTCCCCCTATAAAAAATTTGGAAATGGTTGCAGTTTTTAAATTTTTATATTAAGTTTTGCGTAAACTGAAAATTACTACAATGAATCTATTTATAATTACAAAGTCAAGTATACTCCTACTTTAATAAAGCTTTTTATTGTTTTTCATTTCAGGTGCCAAATAAATCTTCATTTATTTCTTATAGAAAATACTGCACCTATATTTATCAGAGATTTATTAAAATATGGTCCGTGCCAGCCAGAAATTAGTGATACTTTAAAAAACATAAAAATTGACGAGAGACATTGTACAAAAAGAAACTGTTGAAAAGTTTACAATAAAAGAAAAATACTTGTTACTGGTTGATTTGTTTCCATGAGTTAGCACCATGCCCGAAGCAAGCTTTTTTTGTTGTTTGAGATAACTTTCTGACATGGAGTACTTTTATAAACTTATGTATATGGTAACAAATATAACCCTAAATCCTTTGCCCTATTCTTTCCCTCCCCCCCCCCCATGCCCTTAACGTGAGAGAAACGCGTTTATAAAATATTTTTTTCTTACTATTTGTATTTAAATTTATTTTCATCGAAAAATTTTAAATTTCTAGAAATAATCTCTAAGTCTTCAATTTTTATGACTAACAGATTATTGCATATAATTTGAAATTTGTCAACAAATATAAATTTAGTTATAAATAGTTTGTTTATTGTTTTTTTTTTTTTTTTTTTTTTTTTTTTTTTTTTTTTTTTTTTTTTTTTTTTTTTTTTTTTTGTTCTTTTCTTGAATATTCAATATAGTTATACAATAAGATAGTTGAGATAAAAAAGTTATACAATAAAAGAAAATATATACAAAAAAGAAAGAACGCGGAGACTCGCAGAAGACCTTCAGGTCTTATCATCGAGAACCGCTCGTGAATATTAAGTACATTAAATTAACATGAAGTATAAAATCTAAACAATGTCGTATTAAAAATTAGCGAGAACGTAAATTTCGTAATAATATATAAATAAAATTGGAATAAAGAAATTGTTGATACTCTTATATATAAATACAAAAATATTTTAAAAAGTACTGTTTTCACAAACACATAAGTTATGGATCAATAACAACAATAACAATAACAATAACAATATATATATTCTGAAATAATAGTTTACATTTAATGGTAGTTTACTAATAGTACGAGTACTAATCAAAGGTAAACACCAATTAAATAATAATAGCAATCATATAATAATAATAATAATGATAATAGCAATAATAATAATAGCAATAATAATAATAGTAATAATAATAATAATAATAATAGCAATAGTAATAATAATAATAATAATAATAATAATAATAATAATAATAATAATAATAACAATAATAATAATAATAATAGCAATAATAACAATAATAATAATGTAAATTAAACGAAGACGATTATAATAATACCAATAATACTATTAAATATAATAATGACAATAACAATGATTATATCAGTAATTATAATAACAAAAGCAATAATAGTAATAATGATAATAGTAATGAAGTTAACAACAATAGTAACAACAATAATAATATTAACAAATATCACATTCATATATTAAACAATTCCAATAAGTAATAATGACGGTAATAAAAATGCAAATAAAATGTAAGTAATATTAACATCACATATAATAATAATGCTAATAACAATAGTAATAATAATCTATTATAAGCCTAAAATTTTAATTTGCGTATTTTTCTATCAAAAAGTCAAAAAGACGGGTTTTAAATTGTGAAAAAGTGTTGAGGGATTGAAAATGAAAAGATAAATTATTCCTTGATTTTACGCATTGGTTTGTAATAGAATTATCACCGTATTTTACCGAACAGCGATTTGGGATCAGATATAATATTTATATATTACCTTATGTAATAAACTTCATATTCATTTTTAAAAGAATTTAAAAATATAAAAAAATGTCTTCGAAAGACAAAACAATTTCTTTTAGTTTTTTCTTGAATGAAAGATAATTCCATTCATGGGAAAAATCAAATTTTTTTAAACCTATTTTGTTCCATAGAAAAGCTCCTCGATATGAAACACATGACTTTCCAAAATTAGTTAAAGATAAAGGTTGCTGAATTTGATTATCATTTCTTAAGTTATATTTATTTTTATTTTTTAAGGTATATAGATTATGAAAAGAAACTGGAGATTCGTTGGTTTTACACTTGAACATAAAACAAAGTATATTAAAAATATTTAGCTGATAAATATTAAGAAGTTTCATTTGAAATAATAATGGTTTGGCATGAGCAAATCGATCTTTATAATTGATAAGCCGAGCAACATGCTTCTGCTGACGATAAAGAGGTAGCAGTTTAGATTTATTGGTATTACCCCAAGCAATATTTGCATAATTTATATGGCAATGGATTAAAGAGAAATATAATTGTGTTAGACTGTGTTTATTTAAAGCATTTCTAGCCTTGTACATTACTCCTATATTTCGAGCAACTTTGTTGCACAATAAACCAATGTGATACTTCCAACTAAGGTTTTCATCAATATTTATTCCTAAAAAGTTAGTAGTTTATTCTCTTTTTATTTGAACTTTGTCAATAAAAAGTAAGGGCATCACAGGAGGTAATAGCTTTTTTTTTGAAGTTTGATGAAAAAGTATCCATTTAGTTTTTTCAACATTTAGTGACAGCTTATTCACTTTAAACCAGTCAGAAACTTTTGTTAATTTAATATTCATATTTTGGAATAATGTTGTTATGTTGTTATGAGCTAAAAAAAGATTTGTATCGTCGGCAAACATGACCGTCATTAAATTTGAGGCTTTAGGGAGATCATTAATGTAAATTAAAAAGAGAAGAGGTCCTAGTATAGAACCTTGAGGGACCCCACATATCTAATAAATTGGAAGAGACAGTTGTATTACTGTAAACAAACTGTTTACGGTTGCTTAAATAACTTTTAAGAATCATTAAAATATTCCCTTTAATTCCATAATACTCTATTTTTTTAAATAGGATTTTGTGGTCGATAGTATCAAAGGCTTTCGATAAATCTATGAAAACACCTAACGTATATTGAGATTTTTCAAAAGATTCAGCAATATTGCGGGTAGTTTGGAGTATAGCGTGTTCAGCTGAATTACTTTTTTTTAATCCGTATTGATATTGATACAGTATATTATTTGAAGATAAATGATTGAAAATTATATTATATAAAATAATGTTAAATAGTGCTATTCATTGTTTTAACTACTACTAGCATTATCCTTAGCCCTTTTGCTATTAAATTTTAATCAATACCTTGAATAAAAATATCCAATAAAGAAGTTTGTGATAAATTGGTTCATTCATCAATAGCTACCAAATATTACAGAAACGTCTTAATTTTTTTAACTAATGGCAAATTTATATCATCAGCAATATGACCTGTTCTTTGTGTAATTGTTTATCTCGAAAGAGATAGAAATTTTTAACTGAGACCTTTGAAACTTTAGAAATCACATTTTTTATTTGCAACTTGTCACGGTTAATGTTGCTCAAAGAAAAGCAACGCAGAGAGTGGAAAGTTTTGCCTATAACCTAAAACCTGTTAGAAAAACAATGTAGGCATCTAGAAAAGCAGAGCTTGTTTCTATACAACAGAATCTTCTTGTATTGGTAAATTCTTTAAAAAAAATTGTCGCAGAACAAATAAAAAATTGTAAACCCATGTTTCCTTTGAACCAGAGTTAATTTTTCTTTAAACCATTTTAAATATGTAGTAATGAAAAATTATTTTTAAAATGTCTGCTATTGTTGAAGTAATTGTTATTATATGTAATAATTGTAAAAATACTGTTGTTATAAGTAATAATTGAATCAATCAGTGCCTTGGCTACTGGTTATTAGCTCCCCCACCGCTCCACCCTGATGTTTGGGCCCCAAAATCCTCAAAATTTTTGCATTAGATGTCATCAAAAAAAGAAAGAAAAAAGCTCCTTACATTTGTAACGGCTCCTAAATTCGCGAATGAGCCCACTAAATTTGCTGCACTTACCTACCCCTCACCCCCATTAGGATGTATGGGGTAGCCTAGCCACGGCTCTGAAAAAATTTACGAACGATCTCTAATTTACTGCGCCGTTATCAAAAATCTAACTGTTAAATTTATAAAATATTTTTCTGCAACAGTTGTATTTATAATCAATCAGGTAGCAATAGCAATATATACTATATATTTAAAAAAAAAACTTAAAATACATGTAAAAATCCCATAAAAACCAGGTACTTTATCATAAAATATAATGTTTGAAAATTTTTTAACTTCAAAAAAATGTAATTTTTTAAATTTTTATAAGTTTGAATTTCTGTGATTTTGAGAAATGGTTTTTTAAAACAATTCTTTTGTAATTGGTAAAAGGGTGTTAGTCAAAGATTTACCAAAGTAGAATAATCACAGTACACATACCGCTCTTTTAAATAAAAGAAAAACTAAAACTCATTTAAAAGTCATGTCAGGCAACTGTTGATAATCGGAATATCTGCAACCAGTTGGAGTCAAATTTTGCATCCGAAAGTTAAAAATCGACATTGATGAAAAATCTTTTCTAAATTCTTTACTCCGAAAACAGTATATCATAGGGTTTATAAATGAATTTGAAAATCGCATTAAAACAAAAATTTGTGAAACGACTCCATTCCAAGCAAAAAAAGAGTTATTTATTGATGATAAGACAAATAGTAGTTGGTTCGGTAAAATGCAAATGCCAAACGCAGCCGCAATAATCATTATTGTTTTACTTGTTCTTACCATACGATCGTGAGCAACATCGGTTGTGACTTCTTGATTAATTTGTATCTCCAGTGATTTTCCCAATAAAGTGTCTATTTTTGTAAGCGTGCGAGTGATATGGTAGAAACAGTACGAAATAATTATAATAGGAGCTAACGTATCAACAGTAAATATTATAACTTTAAGAACGGTTGACTTATTTTGCGATAAATTATACCTACAGAAGTTTCCAAACTCTTTTTTTTTTATATCATAAACTAAAAAATATGCACTTGAAAATTGTACCAAAAAAGCGGATAAGTAAATTGCAACCATTGTTAGTAGTTTGGTTCTGAATGAACTTGAATTTAGTTTCAAAGAATTATAATACAAAATTGTGTTTCGTCTCTCCATTGCAATGTACACAAGTAAAAAAACTGAAGTATCTAGAAACCAATAGGGTAAAAAATAACCTGTCATAAGCATACACATCCGATCTCCTTTTTTACCTATTGGGTGATATTTTTGAAATGAGCCTGTTGATATATAATAAATTGGTAAACCAAGTATAGACACCATGAAATCAGCAAGTGCTAATGAAAATATAGCAACATTGAAAGATGATTTGCGATCATTTTTTTTCGATCGAAGTATAACAAACATTACAATGCCATTTCCAATTGTTCCAATTATTCCAATTATAGCATACCAAACTAGTTGCCATATCTCTATTTGAAATGCTAATGTATACTAAAATTAAAGAAAGATGTTATATATATATATATATATATATATATATATATATATATATATAATATATATATATATATATATATATATCAATTATAAATATAGGTCACTGTTTACGTCGCTCAATCAACTTCACCAATTATAAATCAATTTTAGACACTTTAAATCATAATATCAGGGCCGACGACATGGGTTTTGAAGTGTGGGGGCACAATCATCAATTTGTGAAAAAGTCTTCTATATCTTTAAAAAAATTTTTAAAAAAATCTTTTCTTAAAAAAAAAAAAAGTCCTCTAGAAAAAAAGTGGAGGAGCACTTGCCCCCTGGCCGCTCCGTGACGCCGGCCTTGAATATAATTTAAATTATTTTCTCCAAAAATTATTACCAGTATTTTTTAAATATAAGCATAAATATGTGAGTTAAAGCGTATTGGAAAACAATTTTTTTTTAATTTGAAATTGTAATAGAGCGGAAAAGTTACACAATGTTATAAAAAGTAAATGTGATAAATATTTTTATCTATTTTTTATGTCTTATGTTCGCGCTAGGGTTTTATTTTTCTTACAAAAACACGTTTTCTGACCTTTTTTACAAATTAAAAATAACAAACTCTATGCATATACTAGAGTTGCAATAGAGTTTAAACATTTCACAATGACTAAGTTAGAAATGGTTATAATATTTAAAAAAATGTTTTGAAGTCTTCAGTTGCCGCTAGAGGTCTAAGTTTTTACAAAAAAACACTATTTCATGACTTTCTGGCTCTCATTGTGAAATGTTTAAACTCTATTGCAACTTTAGTATATGCATAGAATTTGTTATTTTTAATTTGTAAAAATGGTCAGAAAACGTGTTTTTCTAAGAAAAATAAAACCCTAGCGCCAACAGAAGACATAAAAATTATATAAAAATATTTGTCACATTTACTTTTTATTGCATTATGCAACTTTTCCGCTTTATTTCAATTTCAAATTCAAAAAAAAAAATGCTTTTTTGATAGCGCTAATGAGTGTTATAAATATTTTTTATTATAGAATTACATTTTTAACGCTATATAAATGTTACATAAATTTCTAAATAAAATTTTAATAAAGCTCAGGTAATTTAATCATGCAAATTTCTATGTTTATTTTCGTTTCAAATGAGGATGGTTTGTAAAAAGATGAAACATTTTAGGCTTTAAAACAAGTAAGCTTTCACTTGGAAGATTATTAAAAGGTTTGGTTTTTTACTTCAGAAAATTTATTCAAAGATTTGAAATCAAGGACAACTTTGGGTTTAATATTAACATAACTTTGAAAAGTTCCAGTTCCATGTCCGATTTGTTTTTAAGTTAGAATTACACAAAATTCAAGATCTCACAATTTCAGTTTATTTTCAGCTGTTGCACATCTTATCATTGCACAGCTGTTAACAAAACTTATCATTAAAAGATCAAGTTTTTAGCCACTTTTTGTTGAAACAAAACTGCTATATTTTCCGCCAAAAAAAAATTAGTTCGTTATTATTTTCAATTTTATTTAAACTTTTAAGCGATAAATATTCAAATTTTTTGAGTTTAAGTTACAGAAAAATATTTATGTGTTTAATGTTGTTAAAATATTCACATTTTTTACTGTGCTTTGTTTTTATTCAAATAAAATCTATTATAAAAAACCACTATTTTAAAACTTTAAACTAGGTAGTTTTAATGAAAAGCGCTGGGTAATTTGAGCATGCTCATATTACACAAAAATGGTTGATATAAAAAAATGCAGGTATGAAAAAATTTACACGGAAACTCGTACTAAAAGAAAGTTTTTACAATACCACAATTATATATATATATATATTTTTTTTTTTTGTAATGACATAAGTATACTTATAAATACTTAAACTATAATAGTCATCATTTTTCATTAAAAGAATATATATAATTTAGCGAAAAGAATATATGTTTTCACATCTAATTACCATATCTTAGAATTACGCTTAATGGAACTAATGTCGTAACTAAAAGAATGCGATAGCATTATAGGAAAGGTATTTCATAACGTGAAATTGCAAGGGCCAGCACCACTAAAGAAAACAAATAATTTCTTTAGTGACAACCTTCTATAGCAATTTAAATTTTCAATCTTGTGAAGCAAACCTTTAACTTAATGAAAAAATTAAAAATATTTTTTGTAATATTCATCCAGTATTGGCATTTAAATAACCTCCTTATTTACTCAGAAAACTTACTTCTTTAAATACTGAAATAACCAACACGAAAGTTGGATTATTCAAACGCAAATCATTTGATGCAAAATTTGCAAAGATCTAACGACGCTATGTGCTCAGCAAGTAAAAGATGTCTTTTAGACCACAAAAAATTTATTTAAAAATTAAATTTTGCATTTATTTTATAATTATAATTGTATTATGTAAGAATTGATTACACGTGCACCACAAATTGAGATTTAAGTTGGCGATATAAACTAATAACGAAAGTTAAAAATTCAGAGATTTTCTCTGCAAAACAAGATTTTTCTGAGGTATTTTGTGAAAATTCTCTAAATTTTTGTGAAAATTCTCAAAAATAACTGTTTATTTAAGTCAGGTAAAAATTTAAAATCTTACAAATTTTTCAGTTTCCTGTATGTTTTTCAATGGTAACTTTGATTTTTATGGAATTTATAAAAAGTACCGAAACCAAAATTTCAGTATCACACAGTATTGCCCATTTTTGTGCCAAAATTATTTTTTTATTAAATATTACTAAATTAGCTTTAAATAACATATTTGGAGCTTATAAATATTTTTTTGATGAAAATAACTTTTTTTAAAAATTTATTTTAAGTTTCATAGTATAATTTCTCAGCGTTCAAAAATTGTGACTATATAAAATTTGAAACCCCCTCAAATAGATAGGGGTTTAAACTTTATATGATCATATTTTTTGAACGCTAAAATATTTTACTATGAATTTTAAAATTTATCGATGAATATAAGTCTAGTTAAAAATATTTTTAAAAATACTTTATCAAATTGTTGCTCTCACGTTTTGGGCTGGGAGGGCCCTCGAGCGGGCCTTGACCCACTGTGAATTGGTTCAAATTGAAATTTCGGCCGAAACCGATACCGAAACAGAATTTCGGTCGATCACTGATCTTTGATATTTTTCGAAATTTTGCAGCAAGCAGAGCAGTGAATATATATTTTTGTATTTATTATTTATTAAAATAGTATATATATATATATATATATATATATATATATATATATATATATATATATATATATATATATATATATATATATATATATATATATATATATATATATATATATATATATTTAAACAATTTAAAATGTATTCAACAAAAAGAGTGCTTAATGTTCTTAAAAGAACAGAGCAATTACAAATTAGTAGAAAATCACTTAGCAAAATTTTTTTCTCATTTAACACTGTGTTTCATCAATAAAGACTCATCAGAAATGAATGATCAAATTAATAAAACTTCAATTTATACCAAAAATTAAGTTGCAGGAAGTCACATGTCTTAACTGCTGCAATTTTTCACACATTTGTGTAATTTGCTGACGCTATTGTAAAAAGAATTCTTTAGAAATGATTACTTAAGCTTTTTTAAAAAATAATATATTTTTTCAAAGGGGAGTTAATGTAACTATTATTTGAGCTCACTTATTTTTACAGTTTTTAGGAGAAACTTATTTTCGTGCCTGCATTTAGAAATCAATTCCGATTTTTTGTTTAATAAACATTCTTGGTTTGTATGTGTAATTAATTCAAATTTTTCTTGTAGACATAGTATGCATTTTTTGGAAATATTGTTATATGCAGGCACTGTTTTAAGGATGGACCAATTCAGTGTAAAATCATAAATATTTTTATCTTTTAATTCCCATATATATTTTGATAGCATGGTGTCTTTTGAATACTTTTTATTTTTAAAAGATTGCTTATGATTGGCAAAACGTTTTTTCCATTCACCTTCTGTTATGCCAGTATATTGTTTATCAGGTACATTCTTAGAGGAAACAACACATTTATATACCACATTTTTTGATAAGCAACTTCCACTCATTGGACAATTGTTTTTTTTTTGTTTACAATTACAATTTTCTGTAGTTTTTTCATTTCGGATTTCTTTTTTGTTTAACAAAGCATTGTTGTGATCTTTTATAATTCTTTCCATATTTTTTGTGCAACTGTAGCTAACTTTAATAGTATTTCGATTTAAAATTTTATGTAATTTATTAGAGGGCGGGAAATGCTTATCAATCAATTTTAAAAACACTTTTCCTATGTTTGTGGAAACTAGGGTTGTTCGCCAAAAAACAAAACTTGCGAAAATTTCGCATCTTTATCTACCGTAATAGAATTGTTATTGCGGAAGTTGCACATGCAAAAATGCACATTCCGTAACGCGCAATACGAAAATATAAATTAATAAAATTCCGTAATAAAGCATTGCGAAAGAAAACTTGCGAAACAAATCATTTCGTAAGAATACTTACGAAATAGTTCCTTACGGAAAAAGCATTCCGGAATGTGCAGTTACGAAAAAGACGCAAAAGATTTTATGTTACGATATATTTAAGATATTAACTGTTAACAGTTTAAATAATAAATAATAAAATTATAAAAAAATGTTGTCAAATGATTCTTCAAATGTTTATACAAATATACCTAATATATATATATATATATATATATATATATATATATATATATATATATATATATATACAGTAAAATCCCGTTAAGTTTGACTCTCAATGAACAGATAAACACTATGCCTTTCTTTTTAAAAAGTATAAAGAGGATGTGTGATAAACAATTAAATACTTTATTATAAAGAACGAGAGATCTCTCTAAAGGTAAATGATATCAGAAAGAGAAAAAATATATGTGAAACAGCGGGATGTGAACCTGGGTCTCCGCGGCCAAATGTCTTAACTGAATGAGCTATACGTTCATTCAACTAAGTGAATAGTAATATTTATTTATTATA